TTTTTTTTCAAGAACGACTTTACGAGAACGAGTCGTGCGCGTACGCAGAGACAATGTGCGTTCAAAATACAATCAGACAGTACATGATAAAGGCGATTTTGAAAAGCAGAAGGGAAGTCTCGGTAATTAAGGCCCGACTGTTTAACAATAAATTAATTAATGTTATCAATTCTGATCGCCGGATTATTTCACAGGCTAACATCTCACTTCTCAACGTTGTATAAAAGCAATTAAAGAAAACAGTTGGAGTTGTTTCAACAACAGCGAGAATTATGAAAGTTTAGCTAGCAAAAGTTCCAACCACGAACGAGATCAAAGAAATTTTGAGAGAAAAAGTTTCTTCCTTCTCATTTCTCTCAAATTCTTGTCGGACGTTAATTACAGATTAGCTTCAAGAGACGTAAGATACAATTTCGTACCGTAAATTTTAACCAGGATTGGGGGAAAACGATCGATACAAATATATAGATATATTATAATAGTTATTTGATGAAACATTTAAAGCCTTACATAAAATATACAGTATGATGTGATATCGTCACGCATGTATGATAAAATTGCGGTGATAGCTGTTTTTTATGTGCGTAGTGTGTATACGTGTGTGTACGTGTGTATGGTTCTTATTACGGACTCCCCGTACAGTGAATAATTATGCCACATGTCGAATTTTATCAGAGCATGTATATATATATATAAATATTATATGTGGTTCAAAAGACGTCTCAAAATATGCAGCCACGTTCCTTTCACGAATCATTTTCTTCCTCTTTTTTTTTTTTCTTTTTTAATCATTATTTATCTCTTTTTCTCTCTTTTTTCCTTTTCATTAATATATATATATATGATTGATATATGTTCTTGAGATTGAGATACAGTAGTCGGTGTACTGAGACTCGATACGGCAGTAGTAGCAATAGTAGTAGTAATAGTAGTAATAGTAATAGTAATAATAATAAAAATAATAATTAATATTAATAATAATAATTAATAATAATAATAATAATATAATAATAATAATCCTTATAAATTCTTACACTTCTTCGTACCGATAGATTCGAAGAATGTTATCGACTTACTTTATTAATTATTTATTCATTTATTTATATTTATATTTATATATATATATATTTATATAATATGTATAGCTCCCCCTCGTCCGCAACTTTTTCGTTAATAGTGATCTTTTTTTTTTTTTTTTCAATCGTATGTAGATATATCGGTATACAGAACTAGTATCAAATTCTAACAGAATCGAGCTACATAAAAATTGTTCCAACCGTTTCGGAGAGATATGCATTTCACTCTGCATCAACTCGTTCTTTTCAGAGTTATTTTCTTCTCTTTTCCTTTTTGAAGTTCTTGAATAATTTTTTTTTCCCTCGGCCCATTTCATTATTTTAGATAAAATATCAAGCTTCATCTCGTGACTCCACTACAATCTTTTCACATCATCATCATCATCATAATCATAATCATAATCATCATCATCTCTATCTTCATCTTCATCTTCATTTTCGCCATCATCATCATCATCAGCATCATCAGCATCATAATCATAACCATCATCATCATCATAATCGTCATCATTATCATTATCATCAGCATCCATTATTATCATCATCCATTAGGAAATTCAATTATCTTTGATTCAACAAATCGATCGCGCTAGCACGCACTTCTTACATTAAGTTACACAGTAATTAAAAATCTAGAGAAATTCAATCTCGGTTGCAAACGTTTCTATTTAAAATATATTGATACTCAATTTCTCACAGAATTCACGCATAAAAAATGAAGTGTTAGCTTCACACCGTCATTCATTCCCCTAAGCACAGTTAAAAAGGAATATATTATAGTCACAAGAGATGGATAATTTCCAATACAAATTTAAAAATAAATATTTTTACAGGGCTTTTAAAATTCAATTCTAAGTATATCAATTTAAAATAAGATTTTTCATTGCTTATATATAAAAAGTCTGTTGAAAACGACGCTATGTTTTTTTCTTTCTTTTCTTTTTTTTTTTTTCTTTTTTTCTGAAGTATCTCTAACATGAAAATAATAATCATCATAAAAAAGAAAGAACAGCATTATCGTTGATAAATCGTTGCAAAAGTCATTGATTTTTCTTTTTGTTTGAATTGTTCATCAGTGATAATCAGCATTTTCTTTTCTTTCTCACTTTTTTAGGCAGTTAGGTAATTCAGTACTTTCCACCGTAAAAATGCAAAAAAAAAAAAAAAAGAAAAAAAAGAAGAATTACTTATCTAAAATAATACAGTGAATCCTGATACACAGAGTGCACAAGGTTGATGTCATTCGACTGTGTCGTTTGGACTATCGTTAAAGATTTCAAGTGTTATACCTAATTAATAGTACGGGGGAAAAAAAGAACACGTTCTCGATAAGAAAATACATTTAAAAAGTAACAGTCGCATATTTTCTTTTTTTCAGCCTTTTGAGACGCAGGGTTTTTTCTCTAATATACTTTTTTCTTCCCTTCTCTGTAAAGCTGATTAGGTTATCTTTGTTGTCATCTATTAAATTACAGTAAATGGTACTATTATAGTATGTAAAATGTCACTGCGTGCATATATGTGTATACATATCGCAGTAGTAATAATTCTCGATGCAAGTAGATAAAAGTAGCAATCTGCTAAGCCAGTGCAGAATCATTAGACGATCTTCGTTTCTTTCTTTCTTTTTTTTTTCTTTTTTTTTAATTGTATAATTTTGTTCTATATTCGATAAGTACAAAATACAAAGATTAAAGAAAGAAGAGACTAAAAAAAGGAGAATGAAAAATTATTACGAGATCGTCCAACAAGTCTGTCAGGTTCATTTACTCTATCATTTTATGAAAATGAATTTTCGTCAGTATGAAAAAATAAAAATGATAATTCTTATATTCTGCAAACTACTGTGGACCACGTCAAGATTGATATTGTTTCCTTACATTTGTCTTGTGCTTTCCCCCTGGTTCACATACATAAATGAACCTTCGTATGTACTCTTGCATCCATTTTTTCACTCGCGAATTCCATCGAAGAGTTCTTTTAGCGCAAACAGACGATAGGAGAGAGGCATGTTGATGAATTCTGGGGAAACGAGTTTTCCTTGCTTTCTTTTCTTTTCTTTCTTTCTTTTTTTTTTTTTTTTTTGGTCGAATTTGATTTGAGCTAGTCATTTCGAAATTCTTGATTTTCATTTTTTACCTGCGTGTTTTCGTCTCGCTTTCGCGCGACGTTTTTTTTTTTTTCGTTTTCCAAATGAACTCGTCATTTATATAACACGATACTTTACGGATACTTTGTCATATAATAATCAAGCGTCGTATAGCGCAACAAACGTAGCAGATCTCTGAATAGTGAGAAGTAATAGAGCACTTATCTGCAAAATTCTTGATCTTCATGGATGGGAGATATCAGTTTTACAATTTTTTTTTTTTTTTTTTTAATATATATATGTACTTTTTATGTAATATACGTATATTAGAATTAGCTAGCGCCGCTAATTCAGCTCGATTCTTTTTCTTTAGAATCTGAAAGCAAACAAAGGAGGCTCGGTCAATCGAAAGGACGCGCGAAATATTTGACTGGGCAATCGAATATTTCGTTACCGTTTGCGGGTAACAAAACACGCAACGGCAAATATTATTTCTTTCTTTTTTTTTCCAGTTAACGATACAAGCTAGAGAACGTTTTTGTTTCTGGTTTTATTTACCGCTATCGGACTTGTCTTCAGATGTTCCGTTTGTCAGTTCAGGCTCTTTTTTCTTCTCCCCCTCCTCGGACTCGACACTCGACGCTTTCTTCTCTTGGCTCTCCTGGCTGGCCGCTTTCTTGTCCTTCGTTTTCCCTTTGGCTGGAGTCGCTGGCTTCGGTTTCGGCTCGAGACTCGGGTCCAGCACGATCTTACCAATGTTCTTACGGTCATGCATCTTCTGCATGGCTTCTGGAACGTCCTCCAAAGCCCATGTCGAATCCACCATAGGCTTTATTTTACCATCGTTCCACAAGGTGAACACCCGTTCCACTGCTCGCCGTACGAACGCGTGGCTGCCATGCTGGTACATCAAGTGGCGTAGATTCAATCCAGACAGAGTCTTATTCTCGTCAAACAATTTGATGGGGGATACCTTGTCCACTTGCCACCACTGTAAAATGTCAAGCACAGAAGACTTTGAACACTGATGAAACACATCGTTACACAGGGTAATCCATTAAAGTCTGCTTTATAATTAAATGCATTTTCATTCAATGCTATATACCTCATTTTTAATTCAACGATTTGTTAAAAGAGGAAAGATGATTTTGCATTTCAGTTCATGAAATTTAAATTTCCTAAATGGACCTCTAACATTTCCCCTCGTTCCCCATATGTACTAAATTCCCTCGACTTCATAGCTTTCGTGTTAAGTGCTGTGTACCAACTACTAATGTATACCCATACATACATAAACTAGTTGCAAGAAGGAAGTAACTTCTTGCACAACGGTGTGCAGGGGAAAGAAAGATATAATAGAATTAAATTTCTATGACATACTGATCGCGCTGCCGAGAAGAAGCTTTTAGTCTCTCCGGTGACCACATTACTCGATCCATAAAGGATGTATTTCCCCATAGGTTTCAGCAGGGCGTAACCCTTGTTACACTCTTCGCCGCAAAGGCAATCCAGAACGATATCCACACCTTCCGGCGAGATCCTGTGGAACAAAAGGGAAGAACAAACAGGCGATAAAGAATTCTATGGCGTGTAAACACGCTATAAAAAAAAAAAAAAAAAAAACGATAAATCATAGATTTGATTACACACTTCCTAACTTCGTTGCTATAGTCCGTGCCTCGTTCCAAGAGGTGGTCGATCGTACCGGCCGCTTTCAGGGCTTCGTGTTTTGATTTACTGCATACGCCAAAGATGGTCACGTCTTTCACGGTCTTGGCCAGCTGGACCACTGCCTGACCCTAAAACAGGAGTTTATTAGGTGAATAATAATAATAGAAAACAGATTACCAATTTTTTAGTTAAGTTACTGAGAATTTTTAATTTTTTACCTAATAATAGAAAACAGATACTACTAATTTTTTAGTAGTATCTCAAATGATAAATTTGTAATTGGATAATTACATATTATATAATATATATAATATAATTATTTTAATTATTAATTATATATTATTATATATAATATTTGTTATAACTTTGTTATAAATATTATATATATATTTGTTATAACTTTGTTATAAATATTATATATATAATATTTGTTATAACTGTTTTATATATATATAAATAAGTTCCAACTTCCTAAAATATATGGAAACTGAAATATTATTCAAGAGCAACAATTCTCGATTCTAATCTTCACATTTAATTTCGTAGCAGTGATATTTCATCCGTGTTTCATATTTTTTTTATCGTATTTTCGTGATTAAAGTAAATGTTAACGTCTTCAGAGAGAACTTGTTCAACTCTGAATGAAGAATTTTTCACAAAAAAAAAAAAAAGAAAAAAAAAAAAAGATTATGCCTTTTAAAGTTCAGACGCGGCAGCGCCAGGGGACGCGCTTAAATTATATTTTTAGTTACCCGACTGTCCGTTGTATCGCGTTCACCAAACTCGTAATCCCATTATGCCGCCAGAAGGCAGAAAAAGCGTCTTCTGAAAGTCTTTTCATCGCGCGACCGCGAAAGAACAGCCGGGGCAGGAGACACGACGGGGACGACGACGAAAAAAGGGGAAAAAAATTGAAGCGAAGCTGGCTGGAGATTTTCTCAACAGAAGCAGCATTCATTATTTCCGAGAATCAAAAGAGCTGACCGGCCTTCTCTCTTCCACGCGGGGCCGTGCCCAGCGCGCTCTGTCCCGTTTTGTCGAGAATTCGATACCCAATAACGTTGACCAATCCCAGGGCCTTGGAGTGGTCGGCAAGAGGGACAGAGACGGGGCGACAGGCTCGAAGAGTAGCAAGAAGAATTTAAGAAAACGAAAAAAATGGAAGGGAAGAGGTAACGAAAAAAAGGGGAAGGAGTGCGCGGACGAGGGTCAGAATATTAAGAAGCCACTCTAAATTGTACGTCATAACACGCTGTGCCAGTGCAGTTAGTAGTTAGAGGGAACCCCCCATTTATCCATCAAGTATATTTATAATAAATATTTTGTACCATTGCCGCCATTACATGTACAAAAATTTCGTTTCCTGATTTGAATTGTTAAATAATTATGATGATGTTTACCTTAATTTTTATTACCCGATTATTTATAGTAGTATAAAGAATATTGAAACATCACCATATAATGATTTCTTTCCACGGGGTCTTAAGGTCGATGCTTTTTCTCAACAGAAAAAGAACTGGTTGGCAAAGGACGTGTTTAAAATTTATATATCAATAAAGAAAAATCCGTTTCCCCTTCTAAGAATATCGAGAGGTTAAACGTTCTGGAAACTTTCCGATCTTATCGCAATACATATATTTGCTCCAAATGCTATTTCCTCATACCACCACCACACCGTCATAATATCCTCCACGCATCACCGACACCAACGAACATACTTTACGCGGTTAAGTCGAATGAAACGCCGCGAGTATACCGAGGCAGTTAGTTCAAAAAGAGACGGCAATAAAGAGAAAGAGAAAATATGAGTTGATATAGGGAGGTGGTGCTAGCCAGCTCGAGGAAAGACGGAAAAATCCGACGTGATCAGGGAATGCAATTTCTCAAGTCAAGTGCTTCTTCTAGCTTTCCTTGTCTACGTGACTTGCTTAAATCCTTCTCTAACACGTGCTTGAGGCACAGAGGCGCAGACAATTCTCAAATGTTACTAAAATAACAAGACTACAGAACAGATTCCTCTCCTTATTTCCCTCCTTGTCAACGTTTTTTAAATTCATACAAAAGTATCTCTCTCGGTTCGAACTGATTACCGATATGATACAAATATTTAAAATCGAAGTGTGATCTATTACTGCCACAGTCATTAAGATTGGGTTGTCAAAAGATAAGAAGTCAAATTTCAACGTGTCCAACGTGTTCGATTTCTAATTCAAAACTCAACAATCTCGATCAATTCAAAATACTAGCAACCCGTTCGTGCGAACGGGGCTTAAGAGCCAGCGTACAACACGTGCTGACGGTGGTACCATGGCGGTAATGGTAATAGTAGTGGTGGCGATGGTGGTGGTGTGGTCTCAGACGGGCGCGGTCCGTCACGGTGGTCGATGAGAGAACGAAGGGTTGCTTGGCAACCCTCACACCCCCGTCCGTTCTGTGCACCACCGGCAGCAGCAGCAGCAGCATCCCCCGGTAGATTTCGTCGTCTCAACTTCCAGCGATGCTACAGACCAATGGGCGAGGCAGAGTGAAAGGGGGAGAGAGGGAGGGGAAGAGCAGAGTAGACTAGAAGAGGGAGAGACGATGGAGAAGGGGGAGGAAGAGTCGCGGGGGCGATGTAGTTAGCTTCGAATGTAACCTGTTGAGCCGTATTGATCCCGACGTAGTCGGCTGGCTCTCCCGCCTTCTCCTTCGACGACGACATTGAGAGAGAAAGCGTTGTTGCACGGATGTGACTCGAGCCGACTTCGCAAAAGGGGCAGTAACCTTGCATCGTGTCGCCCGGTCTCTTTTCTCTCTCCCTCCTCTCTGTCTCTCGTTCGGGTCATAATTGTTGCACGTATCCTGCGTATCACCCGTTCTTTCGCTTTTCCGAAACGCGATTTTCTCTCGCGACGCGAACGATTTTACTTTTTTCTTTTTTCCTTGTTCACTCAACGATTGCATAATATGTAACTATACGACGATCAATTCCATCATCTTCCATTCTTCAGCAACGTGATTTTTTCTTTATGTACTTTTTCTTTTATTGTATTTTTCTATGCCTCTCGGGATATTTTCCACGTTAGATAGTTATGACGTTTTTTTTTTTTTTTTTTAATCGCGAGATATCGGGAGGAAGGACTTACCACACCACCGCCGGCGCTGTGAAGCAACAGACTCTTGCCAGGCGTTAAATTGGCCAGCTCGAACAGCAAAATGTAAGCGACGGTGTAGTTCATCGTGATCGCCGCTGCATCGAGGTAGCTCATCCCGGCTGGTAGCGCGAAAACGGACGTGGCCGGCACGGAGACGAGCTCTGCCCACGCCTTGTGATCAGGAAGCGCGACCACTCGATCGCCCACCTGAAAATAAGTAGTCAAATGTATCCTGTAACATTAACTTTATTACCATTTCCGCGCGTTTCTTCTTTAAAGTTTATTTTGTATATATATACCGTGTGTCTTTGCGAATTTTTAAATTCAAATCGATTATGTTAATCCCGCTCGGCCCTTTAATCTTTCATGTCTCAATTTCGCTTCAATTTTTTTATAAAAAAAATTAAAAAAAAAATACAATCTGATTGAAAATGACACGGTAGAATTATACTTTACATCTTATCCAACTTTTCAGTACATTTTCCAAATCTTTTTCTTTTTTTTTTGATCTTTTAATCTATCATGATTCAAAGAAATATTAAAAAATATCCTCCTTGCTTAAATTAAAATTACACTTTTGAATTATTCAATCAATAAATTTATGGCCAAAATAGAAGATCGTTTGGATTTTCCAATAAATGCAATGAATAAATATTTTAATATCTACGGCCAGTTATATTCCTTTTACATCAATAATTGACCATCCTCTCAAATGAGAACCTCTGCGACGAGGTAGATTATCCCATAAAGGAGTAAATGAATAAAACAGAGAGAGAGGAGATCGCCACATATAAACGCAACAATGCCAAGAACTCGAGGAAACGAGCCAGAGGGGAAGGAAAGGTCTGGGTTAGGGGGCGCTACGAGCTCGAATATTCCATCTCGAAAAGCTTTCCACTTCCACGCGCCACGCACACATGCTTCATACAGGGTGTTCCAGAAATAGGTGTACCTCTCCCCAAGAGTGAAAACAATAATAAACATAAATCTACGAAACTCTTCCCTTTTGACTTACAAAAACTCTCTTTTCATTCACCTTGAATTTTCATGTGAATAACCTAAATAATCTAAATGTGGGACCATCTAACTCATTAGTAAAACTATTTGAAAAGCATTCCGGCTATTTCCACAAAACTCAAGTTTTACCTGAAAGGTAAAGGAAAGAACAATTTTTCAATATATTAAAAAAAAAAAAAAATGAAAGACTGTCAGATAGTTTGGCTACTAGTTTGTTATATTTCTGAATCAGCCTGTATACGTCATAATACACACGCTTCGGCCGTTTGCACATGCTGCTCGGATATCTGACTCTAAAGCCTTTAAACCTGGCATCTTCTCCCCCTTCCAGCCCCCCTTCGTGACCTCGAGGAGTTTCGCGAGTCGCGAAAATAGACCACCCCAAGACGTGTGAGTTAGAGAGAAAAAGAAGGTGGGAGAGAAAGAAGCGTTTTCCTGCGGCGTCTACTTAGTCATGGACTCGGGGGGGAAAGCACCGTGGAACTCCGCCCTTGCGGAAAGATTAGTGGGTGAAAAATTCAAGGACAACGGCTGAACGCGGAACGACTATTTCGAGAACGAATTTCCCTTCGGGCGAGAGGGACCGTTTCGCCGCGGGACACTTTCTGTCTGCGTGAGTGGAACGATTGCTTTTTCTTGTTTGATGACGAAGACGGAATGGACGTTCTTCGTTGGAAACCTTTTTCCTTTGACGATCTTTTCTCCGTGTTTTCCGCTGTGTTTGAAAGAGAGAGCATGATCATGGTTCGCAAACATCGTAAATTTGGAACGCGTACTGAAAATACAGGCATTGTGTGAACCGTGTGTTTTAAAGGATTGAAAATCCGCGTTCACTTTATCTGGTCGAGACATTTGCTAATTTTGTATCTTATCGCGTATCTAAAAACGAGAGATTTCCTATAAGCGTCAGCATGTTTTTTACTTCTTTCGTACGTGATTTTTAAATGTTGCGTTCCAGTCAGGTGCACGCATGCGCGTTGCGCGTCTGACGTACGTGCATCTGGTGCGCATGCGCCTGTCGTTTATACGAAATTGACGTCTTTCAATTCAGGGAAAATTCCCACCGAATCCAGATAGACGATTTTTAGGTTAGAATTCCCATATTAAAAATGTCACGGATTCGTTTACTATGAATATATAAATAGATATTTCTTGTAATTTTACTTGAATACGAGTAGGAAACGTTCTATTACGTGTAAGAATGAAGTGTAACAAAGTAGAGGTAATTTCTTTATACTTTGAATGACAACTACTTCCACAAATAAGTTAGCTGTCGAAATGAATTTCTTTTCCATCTTGTTGAACAACTAATCTTGAAGCGGCAACATTTTATGGATAACCACGTGGCGTCGAGCAGAAAACGGTCATGAAAGAAAGGCGATTTGACAGCATAATAAACGTCCGCAGGCACGACGTTGGTTTTTCTTCGGTAAATACAATATACTTTCCGCGACAGGGAAGTCGATGCCACTGAAAAATATTAGACGCCGTTTCTACCCGTAGGCGACCATGGAAAAATCGATAGGAATCAGGCCGCGTCAAAGGAATAACTATCGAGACTCGAGGATATTATGTTGTATAAAAAAAAAAGAAAAAAATAGAAAAGGAGAAAGTACACGCCTCTTTTTTCCCTTTAAGGTTAATTTGCATTTATTATCATATCGAGCGATACTTGACGACTTTTTTCATACATATTTTAAGGGATTGTTGGCAAATTATACGGTGGTACACCATAAATGAAAATGCACAGATAAGTGTATCTGTTATTCTAAAATCAATTTTTTCAAACTTCTGTTCAATTTTAAGACTGTTTTAAGAAGTTTGTAAATTTTGCTGTGGTTCATTCTGTCATTGAACAACTTTCATGTATTATAATTTTAATCAAAACATATGAATTCTGTATAAAAAAAGATTAAATATACTATTAAACAGCAAGATAGATAAAACGAAATTGAAATTAAATTAAAAATAACTAGTTTCAAAGGTTCTTCGCCGATGAGACAACTAACGAAGCTCAATGCAAAGTTTTCTGGGGGCAGTGCACCATGGTTCACTTACTTTAAAGTTCTCTACGCCCTCGCCAACTTGCTCGATGTCACCTGCGCACTCGGATCCCATAATGAAAGGAGTTTTTGGTGGGGAATCGATAGCACCCTGTCTCGCCATCAGATCTTGGAAATTTAGTCCGCTGAAAAGACACACGAATACACATTTTAGAACAAAAAAAAAAAGAAAAAAAAAAGAAAAAGGAAAAGGAAACTGCTACACGCAGTGTTAAAGGTAAAATTTCAAAAAAATTATAAATTAACATGATGACAGGATTGATTTCGCATAAGTGTAAAATACTTTATAATTTCTTATGGATATTAAGGAAAAAAAAAATTCTATCAAAATATAATATTCTATTTTCCTAATTATGCGTGAATATTTAAAATTGAAGATTCAGCTCGGATCTTGTAATTCTGAAAGCTTGTAATCATACTACGTATAGTTACCCCTGATCATAGCGAACACAGTATGTAACACAGTGTTTAATTACAGCGTAATTTTCATTATACATAATGTGATTGTGACAATTACATCTTATAACTCCGAATTTTCCAAATACTATGTAGATAACTAGACAGTAAATTTAACTTACACCTAACTTAAATCTAACAGACCGTTAGTTCTATTTTGTCAATTGTGCATTACATCAAGTAAAACATAAGAACAAAAGGTTGGGAATACCGCATCGTCGAGGAAAGATTCTATAGTAACTATAGTGTTCCAGACACGCGTGCTTGTCCGCTTTTCATAAATGTAACAACGTTGCAGGTGATCGATGCGGATAAAATATTCGTGGGCAGTGTTCGCGCCGCTTTTCCAAGAAACGACACGAACAAACGGCGTCGGTGCTGGTACAAGGCTCTGATAAAGCGTCTATCGGCGTTATTTCACGGTCCCCAACCGAAAGAGGCACCAGTTGTGCGTTGCGTGCGACGCCAGGCGTCGATCTAGGCGTCGTGGCGCCTCGACTTACCCTCCCCATCTGTCAGTCGCCGCTGCTAGGGTTGGCAAAAGCTCGAAGGTAACCGCACACGTGTATTTATACGGAGGAAAAAAAAAAAAAAAAACGGAGGTATAAGTCACCGTGGGACTGCACACGCATCCGAAATGTTCTATTTCAGCCCTCTCCCCCCTCTGCCGCCATCCACCCTCTCCTTAAGCTGCATTTACATTAGTCACGTTATCCTCACGATACCTCTGAACTCGACTGAAAATATCCTTTTGCAATTCACAAAACGGTTTCTGTTTTTATTAAGCCTGGTGCACGCGGCAGAAGAATTCATGCAACGTGAGTTTAACCCGCGTTTGAGTTATGCGTTCAGGCGTGACTGTCTCGTCTTCTCGCGGAGGAACATCGGAGGAACTGGAAAAATCTGTTCACCCTCGAGCAGCTTCTATTTTTATCCTCTACGAGCATACATGTAGGAAAAGAAGCGATCGGTTGCCGCGACTGGATCCTTCCGTTTGTCATGAAAATGCATTTCAATGACAGGGAAAGATACCTTTTTTGTTTCCTTGTGCGTAAGTATCCGCGACTTTCGGTAAATAATTCTAAAGAATAAGGTTCGAATGAGCGATTTTATACTAAAAATGGAGATAATGGACAATTTTTTTCTTATATTTGAAACACCTGCTACCTTCCAGGTAGATTGACCCGACAGACGCAGCTTGTCCTTGGCCTCGCGAAAAGCCGAAATTAGAAATGGCACTTAGCAACACAAAGAAAGAGAGATTGGAGACGGTACATGCAGAAAGAGAAGCGATGGGAAGTGACAGAGGCCTGTGCTGTATGGTTGTCTCGAGCGGAAATGGGATAATGTAATTGTCCCTCCTATCAGTGGGGGATTACTCAGTTCTCAACAAATACACTCAGCGATACAAGAATTTTAAGCATGCGAACTGTACGCTTTTTACGGATCTCCTTTCGTATTACGTGTTTAATATCACGCTAATCCTCCGTGCCGAACAAAGTATTAAAGCAAATCCCTTGAAATATCCCCTCACGTGATTTAATATCGTCCAGATGATTAATTGGCCAAAAAAGATGATAAAATTTAATGTTAGTATAACATTATATTGCATTTAGTTCGGCAACTATTTGTACAAAATGACGATATGACAATTATAAAAATCGCAAATTACTGGAGAACTTTCGTTATCTTTGACGCCATTGTTTCAGAAATGAAATTTCAGCGAGTTCTCTGTGAAATGTACATATCATGGAACTTTATCGATGACTCATGTGTGTCATATAACTTCCTGGGAATAACCAGCATGATAAATCATCATACTTGCATTGGAAAATATCACGCAAGATAAATAAAACATGAGAAACTTGTCAATTACTGTATCATTTTACTTCGCCAGAAGAAACTTGTTTGAAAACTCATTCTCATCAGTTTGTTTATCTTGAAATTTATTCAATGTTCGATAGATCGATTTCAGCAACTTCCCTGTTATTGTTTCTCTGTTCATATCAAACAATCGTCAAAACCAACGAATCGTAAATTGCAAATTATTGGAGAAACTTGTAATAGACGCCCTTGAAATGGAACATCATGTGTAACTACGTAGTACGTAATACAATAAGTTTTTACAACTTGTCGTATCACATACCTATTACGATTATATTTCTGCATAACCATAATCTGTTAAGAAACGAATGAAGAAACTATACTTATACAAAGTAGCAAAAAAGGAATCCACGTGCGTATTACGTGTATGACGCTACGAGCAAAGGTTAATTATCGAACAAAAATGTATAAAGGAGGAGTACATCGGGTGATTACAGTTCGATTACAGTTTGACACGATGGAAATTTCGTTTGACACACGTCGAGTCATTATCACAGGTAACCCGATAAATTGTACGTGATTCAAAACCGATCGCGTGGCACAAAACATTTTCATTCACTGAAAGACACTTGATCGGCCGATACGTTCGGTATGATTTATCGCTCGTTGTTTTCAATCGCTCGGCGATTCAGACTACGATGCACGCTTACTTCGTATAAACTCGAAAGAATTTAGACATTCGACGTAGGAAATTTATACGCGCGTCATCGCACAAATTTATTTATTTCATATATTACATTTTATTTACTCTTCATTATTACGTGTTTGTTTATTTCAGCTAGACAAAAAAAAAAACGCTAGAAAGCTGTAGAACCTGCGCAACGATTTCGCAAGAGTTACGAAATTTCGCAATTTGACGATTTCCTACCCGCGTTTCGTAACGAGAGTCAATTATTCCCCTCGCTTTTCGTACAATCGCAACTTCTGGCGCGTGACGCGCTAAATCGAGCGAGCATATCGAAACGAAACGAAATGTAGTTTACCGAATGATAAGACAGAGAGTTAAGTAAGTTGCAGCGCGTTTCAGTTCAAAAAAACACGTTCATTTCTCAATAGACTCGCGGGTAAACAGGTTAACGGAATTAATAGCGACAAGCTATTTTATGATAATGAAGCACCGTGGCCGTTTAATAAAGCTCGAGTTGTCGATCCTTGCGCCGCGCAAATATACTACTACAATTGATCATCAAAAATGGATTTGATACGCTACCGACTGATAGAAAACTCGAGCGACGAAGCTCGAGTTCCTAGCAAAGGGCAAAAGGTTCCTGGAGTTACGGGGCTGCTACGTGAGGCACGGTTCGCGATCGTTTAATTTCTTTAAATTGCATGGAATTGAGGAGAATAATTTTCTCCATTCTTGGCACCGGCCAATTGCACGGGAGGAGGAGGAGGTGGAGGTGGAGGTGGAGGTGGAGGTGGAGGAGGAGGAGGAACGGCGACCATCGTGAGGACGAAGACATGCAACAACGCACCCCAGGGTCACGCACACCACATGCGAGAATAAAAGAAGATAGTCGGAGAACTGGGAGAGACGGCAGACTGCGAAGGGGGACGAAGAGCAGCAGAAGAGCGAGAGGGGCCGGGAGCGCGAGGGAGACGAACGGAAAGGGAGCGAAGAAGTAAAAACACGAAGCAAAAAACGAAGGCAGAGAAAGGGAAAAAAACGAGGAGAAAGTTGAAGGGGGAAAGAAATATGGTGCTCTCCGCGCACTTGAAAAAACCGACGCTGGCCTTTATCTTGTTACTCGAATTCGGCTTGCTCAAATAACGAGTATTCAGATTCCGAATTTCGAACTTGACCGCTCGGCGATGCTTCGCAACTGATTGCGAACCATAACGAGTGACCAAATCGTATACAATAATAATTTCGTTGCTTTCTTTTTAAACTCGTCGATATATCATTGATAGAAATGATTGAGAAGTATATAATTTTTTTTGCTTTGCCTGGGTTATATTTAAATATACTTGAATCTTGAGAAAATGTAGCAATTTTTGGGGACACGAGGTTCTCGACAAGAGGTTAACCACTTGCGCTGGTAACTGATTGCGGACCATAACGAGTGACCAAACCGTACACAATAATTCGTCGCTTTCTTTTTGAACTCGTCGGGTATATCGCTGGACAGAAATTATTAAGAAGTAATAAATTTATTATTTGCTTTGCCTGGATATATTATTATATTTAAATATACTTAAATATACTAAAACTGAGAAATTATTGCAATTTTGGGAACACAAAGTTCTCGACGTGCGTGTCACGTCATTCCGGCGCAAGAGGTTAAAGAACTGAAAAATGGAAAAATATAAATGAATTAACAGTGACGAGTCAAAGAACCTAGACATTTCGATAATTAATTGGCAATTTACTAAAGAGCTACACTGATACATCGATTATTAATGTTATGAATTTTTCAATCTCAGAACTGCTGAATTCAACTCGATTCAACTCTGATTCCAAGTCAAATTCTCCGTGGGTGCCGCAATCCCTTCGCAAAACCAGAGCGTGAGAGAGAACGCGCTGAACTGGGAGGAAGCACGCATGTAAGTGTGCGTGATGCGACAAACGGACAAAAGAGAAGCGAGAATATATAACGAAAAATGTAAGAGAATTAAATATGTGATGACTTAATTAACTCGTACATTAACAAGAATATGAGAAGAGTATAAAAACGTATAAAAAAATATGTACAAGAAAAAAACGACTGGATATCGCTCAGACGAAGCAACGTTACCCATTGTCGTCATTTCAATTGCTATTACGTGATAGATGGTAGTCGGATAGGTCTGTCTACTTGCAAGAGGAACGTGGTCGTTCAATCGATCGACAGAGAAGACATCGAGGCGCCTGCAAAACCATAACCTCCACGCGAAATCGCATGCACGAATCTCGCGTGACTCAATATACATACATATATGTATACCGAAGGCAGCGTTGATTCTACGCTCAGCGAAAGTGCAGTTCAGTTGTCTGGCGACACAACGTTCGTTGGTGCTGCACAGCAATTCCTGCGTACGAGTTTAGATTAGGTTAACATCATATCCAATGAATCCTTTTAAATCCTTTTTTTTTTCCACTTTTTTTCCAAAAGTTCTTCCACACACATATATATATATATACTGTGTACTATACTATATACTATTAGACTACTGTATACTATACTATACTATATACTATTAGACTACTGTATACTATACTATACTATATACTATTAGACTATTGTATACTATACTATACTATACTATACTATACTATACTATACTATATTATACTATACTATACTATACTATACTATTAGACTACTATATACTATACTATACTATACTATACTATATACTATTATTTCACGACATGTGGGTCTACAAAGACCCAGTGACACTCAATTTATAACGTATCCCCGTCGCTGTCTAATTTCTTTCCAACGAACGCGGCATTTATCTCCCCGCGCGGAGAGACGTAAGCCATTTATCTCGTTAAGCGTTTGCATCTGCTATAAATAAATATGGCTGTCGCACGTATAGATTTCCGCTACTGAAAACAATGAAAGAAACCTTTTAGATCGGAAACAATGAGATCATCATTCGCCAGTCGTCAATTGATACATTGATACGGGTGTATTATCTATTTTAAGAACGATATCCAATTTTTTCTTCTTTTTTTTCAATTTTCTGAATCTCATATTACTCTAATGGATAATTGAAACAAATTGCCTGTTATATCGGCGATGACCTTCATTACCGATTATCCATCGATCGTATCGATAACTAAGTGCCATTTGATGATATTTACAAAGAGCTACTTTGTAGAATTCTAGAAATTCTTTTTTTAATAGTTCGCATTAAATTAGGATTAACCGGCATTTTCTTGTTCTTGAGTCATCACCGTGGGACTTATGGTCAAGATGTGACGTTAACCCACGGCAATTAATATGCTTCCAAGTAGAAACGCATTACCACCAATTGTCATCCTCAACAACTTCCATAGAACTTCCTAAACCAAGAAACACGGTGGCTATCATTTTCATCGCACTTTCTATACTCGGCGAAGAAATTACACCGTTCTTTCACGTTGAAACTCTGTGAAAAATCATTTTAACCTTTCGCGTTGCCAACTGATTGCGGACCGTAACGAGTGACCGAACCGTGTACAATAATTCGTCGCTTTCTTTTGAAACTCGGGCCTGTAATAATATAATATTGCTGGATAGAAATTACTAAGAAGTAATAAATTTATCATTTATTTTGCTGGGTTACATTTAAATGTACTTGAAACTGAGAAAATATTGCAATTTTGGAGCAAAAAATTTTCAACGTGCGTGGCACGTTATTCCGTCGTTTCTGCGCAAAATGAAAGTAAACTTCGACATCTTAACGACACGCTATTTGATCTGGAATAAGATACTGCTGGTCGCGTGGCTTGCATCATTGTAAGTAGAACAATTATTAGTAAAAAAAAAAAAAAAAAAAAAAAAAAATGGTATTTTAGAAGTGAAACGCACACACGTTATATTGTAGCACTGGTTACGGCAATCTTCAGTCAAGTGAAACATTATCAGGCGCCTTGGTGACGTACGATGTGTCCGGCGATTTGTTTACGAGTTATTCTCCAATCGCAACTCTTTGTTTTCATGCTGTGTTGACTGCAGACTGAGACCTTATTCTTAGCAAATGTATCAACCTATTAAATTGCAACGAAACGATTGCAAACTGGCAATCCATGCGCTCGATAGCAAATATCGAAACTATTACTGCGCGAGGCAATTCTTCGCTATAAATAATTTTTTAAGTTTCGAGTTAATCGTTTATATTTCAAATTTTTTTATACTCTGAAAGAATGCATATACAGCATGATAGGAAAGGAATTTCTGAAACTTAAACACCCAACTAATTCTCAACTTAATTTCTTTAGGTATTTCAAAATTCAAAGAAAAGAAGTAAAAACTCGAAGAATTTATTAGAAATTACGAATTTATTAGAAAGAATGGAAAAACACAAGGCACAGAAACAGGATGGAAAACATACCAGCAATTATTTTGCACGACAGATGACCCCGCCGCCATCGTGGAGTTATCAATTGTTTTCAAACTGAGCGAGAATACCGATACAGAAGCTCTTTGTTACTTTTTATCGTCCTCGTTGCCACACCAACACATGCGCGCGAGTCCCGACCAAGCGAATCGCTTCGTACAGGGTGGTTGGTTCCTCTAGTTTTTTCTATGCGCCAGACATTGACCTCGAATGAATAACTTGTGCCACCATTTCTGAAGGGAATTAATTGATACAGGCATAAAATAAACGAATGACAAATTGATCTGTGCGAGAAAACTCTAGAAATGTCAGACACTTTGAGCTATCATATATAAATTAAAAACCCACACGAATTATATATATTTTTATGATAATTTTGTGATATATATATTATTAAATTTATTATTAATTAATTTTAAAATATATATATATTTTTTTTTATTATAATTGTTAAAAATATGGTTTGTCCTTCATGCCCTTAAGGTCAATTTCCATACGCTCTAACTCCAGACGGATGGATACCCATCAATCCTCATTCCCACAAGTTCCTGCCTAACCATCGATTCCTTCAAATGGATCAATCCTGTCCACAATTGAAACCCTCACGTGGTCCATCATTTCCCCTCTTGAATGCCTTCCTACATTCGTATTCGACTCCACAACGTTGACGTATACTATGCCAGACCAAAAAAGGGGGGAAAGACTAATTTGCTCCCAGGCGGGTATAGGACTGAAAATAGATCCTTCATCCTAACACCAAATGTGTCTTTGCTTGCAAAGGACGTAGGAAATTGGTTCCCTTTTCTATTTCCTTCATTTCCGTAACCTTCAAAAACAAAGTATTTTTTAACCTCTGAAGAATAGTAGCTGAACATTGCTTTTATCATTATATAAACAGTATACAAAATAATAACGCAACAGTAATTTTAATGGGTTTTAAGCAAGTAATAGGTTTTAAAGCAATTTAAGTTAGGTTAGGTTTAGGTTAGATTAGGCATCCATCAACAGAATGTTCTAACTTTCTTAACCTCTTGCGCTGGAATGACGTCGAAAATGTCTGGCCCAAAATTGCAATATTTTCTCAGTTTTCAGTATATTGAAATAACCTAGGCAAAACAAATAATTTATTACTTCTCAATAATTTCTATCCAGTGATATACCCGATGAATTCAAACAGGAGACGAATTTTATTGTATACGGTTTGGTCACTCGTTATGGTCCGCGAACCAGTTACTAAACGCAAAAGGTTAACAAATTTCGTTTCTCGAGATTTACACGTCACTAGCTTTGCTAGGCTAGTTTCAGGCTTCCTTCCGACTTATTTTGAATTTCTAATCGACAATTCGAACGAGGTTAATCACGTAATTAAGTCTATTGTGGGCGATAGTCAGTTTCAAATACATACCGTCAGAGACAGGGAGAAAGAATTTGTCACGACCTGAATAGGCCAATTGATTGAGAGTAGTCCGTCGGGAAACGAAAGATCCGGATTTGGCGGGGCTCGCTTAATTTATCGTATATTATATATCCTTTCTTCTCCGACCGTTGGTCCGACCGAGAAAAACTTCCATAATTGCAAACCTCAAATTACATTTTTCGTCTAGGTTAGGGAAAGCGAAGAGAGAGATAAC